GCGTGGCCTGGAACGTTCGATTGAATTTGATTCGACTATAGCCGTTCGCAAACCTTCGTATCGGAGGGGTAAAACATTCCACTGTACAGATACAGAAAAAAGAAACAACATCGATACAAAACGAACAGAAATTTGCGTTCCCTGAGAAGAAGCAACGACTCACAAGCAACTCGACAACTCAACATTTCAACATGATTAAACAATTCCACGTGAAACGACAGTCCACGCGCGCCTTACATCATCAAACGGGCCTAAAACGCTACGAGATGCTAGATGCCAACTTTAAGTCCTTCGATAAAACAAAAATAACGGGATCTTGATAAGGGCTGCCTGAAATAGAGCTGCTTGGGCATGCAATCGATTCGCGCAAGCTTTCATTAGTAGTTTTCGCTAGATCCTGCGACGAGCATGCGCACGTTTGAACGACCAGCATCTTGTTTTTGTGTTCCGTGTCCTTGTCACAGCGATGTGCACCGGAAGTCGATGGCCACCTACCAGATCTCTTCGTCCATTACTGTCGCATGCTACACATTTATAACTATAGAAAATTTAAAGAAAATTGTAAGTTGTAATAGTTCGATCGATTCGACGTCCAAAAATAAATCAAAATCGTAGAATACAAGTTTCTCGTACGACGCTCCCGTTTCGAGAAAATGGACTTTGGATATATTTAGTGGCTGTGCGCGCACTCCAAAATGGCGCTTCGGGGCTTTTCTACGAGGATCGATCCGTACGTAATATCACAGACGAAATACAGCATAGACATTGCATGCAGTGCTTCTTTTTATCACACGAATTGAGCTAGCCATTTTCGAGTCGTTTCCAATGTAATCCATACTGGAATTTGAATTTTGTACTCTGTTTAAAATTAAGACCAGATGCCAGACGAAGCCCCGGGTGCACCGGAGACACCTCACTCCACATTCTCACACTATGGCGGATCAGGCGTACGTGAGCTCGTAGAGTTTCGGACAGTCGACAAAGACAAACTGACACATGCCCTCTCTCTCGACTCTTCGAAGCTGTCCGAACTAATTTCGGACCGTCTCGTGAGAGTTGAGAGAGAAAAGCTCACATTTGCCTTTTCGTAACATACGTAGCAATCATATGAAAAAGTTAAATAAAACTAACAATTTTTCGATCTATCATATTTGGCACCTCATCTACCGATGTACGGAACGAACTACTTCTCGACAAGCTTGGGCATTTTGGTCGTCGATAGCGGTATAGTCCATCATAAAGTAGCATGTACTTTTGAATTTTCCTACAGGCCTCTGCTGACCATTGATGACAACTCCTGATACTTCTGACAACGTATAACAATTACGTCTGGCTACTGTCAACCTGTGCTGGCTTCTGCTAGGCTCTGCTGACCACCGCTTATATTTATGACAACGTATAACGATTGCTGCTGACTTCTGCCTGCCTCCGCTGGCCCCTGCTGATCGCTGCTGACCACACCTGGTACTTTGTGCAACGTATAACGATTACAACTGGCTACTGTCAGCCTCTCCCAAACTCTGCTGGCTTCTGCTGGCCTCTACTGACCATCGCTTATATTTCTGACAACGTATAACGATTACTACTGACTGCTGCCAGCCACCGTTGGCCCCTGCTGACCGCTGCTGACCACTCCTGGTACTTTGTGCAACGTATAACGATTACGACTGGCTACTGCCAGCCCCTCCCAGCCTCTGCTGGCCTCTGCTGACCACCGCTTATACTTCTGACAACGTATAACGATTACTATTTGCTACTGCTTGCTCCTGCTGGTCTCTGCTTGCCACTCCTTGCCACTGCTTGCCACTGCTGGTCTCTGCTGGCCTCCGTTGGCCTCTGCTGACCACTGCTGACCACCCCTGATGCTTCTGACAACGTATAACTATTACTACTTGCTACTGCTTGCCCCTGCTGGTCTCTGCTTGCCTCTGCATGCCTCTGCAGGCCTCTACTGGCCCCTGCTGACCACTGCTGACCTTTGTTGACAACTTCTGACATGATGTGTATGTATTAAAGCTTTGGTTATGCGTTGACAGATATATCAGAAGTGATATCTGAAATAATATACATATGTACGTTTATAGTTAGTAATAATAAAAAAGAATTTCTTTTTTTTCAATAATTAAAATATGATCAGGGGGTTTTAAAACGTCTATTTACGTAAAAGAAATTCCACAAAATTTTGTTTTCATTATCGGTACTTTGCTTTTGTGCGTCTACATACATAGGTCGAAAAGTAAAAATGCCTGGGCAGTCGAGATTCCAAATTGTATGCCGTTGACGTGAGGTCGAATTTCAGTTGTTCAAGAGCGAGAAGGAAAATGTGAGCCTTTGTCTCTCGACTCCCAGGAGGCGGTCCGAAATTACTTCGGGCAGCTTCGGAGAATCGAGAAAGAGAGCATATGTCAGTTTGCTTTGTCGACTCTCTGAAACTGCGAGCTCACGTACGCGTGATCTGGCATAGTGTGAGAAAATGGAATGTGGTGTCCCCGGTTCACCCGGGGCTCCGTTTGGCATCTCTGATTAAGACTAAGTATTGAGAGAATTTATTCGTTTCGGAAACAATCGAAATTAGATCTCGAGAGTAGTACATTCGAATCAGTAATTTGTACGTTCAAAGTAAATATCAAGGAATAGTTACAATTAAGAATACGTATCATCTTAATGTCACAAATATCATTTTGCTTGAAACACTCATCTGTTGAAGATTGTCCATATTTTCGTTATTATTGTTTATAATAATGCTTAATAATGCAGGAAACCGTACACCTCTCTTGGCCATCCATGGATACCCACTGGACCTTCAACCCCTCGCCGACCACTGCTGATCAATGGCCGCCATTTTCTACTAAAAGTTGACTCAAAATTTCGAAAAATGCGAGCAATAAGAAAAATTATACAGCTGAGTCAATTTTCTAAAAGTTACCACTTGTCACCCGGTATACAGTCTATATAATTGTATATTCTTGCCATACAGTATGCTCGATGAATTAAATTTGTTTATACAACACTTAATTTAAAAAAAAAATTGATTTGGAATATTCCTAGAGTACAATAAAGTATAATCTGGAGAGTCTGTCTGACCATACGTACTGCTTTCTACTTGTATTTGTGTTTTAACATCGATTGTGGTATAATATTATCTGCTTTTTCGTTGATTTCAACAATTTTCTAACTAGTTAAAGCCCGTTGAAGCTAATAATACCAAATCAAATTAAAATTCAATTCAATACTTACAACAAAGACCTGATGTAAGTAGAAATGTCGAATAATGGTCAGACGAGGTAGATCAGTGGCAGAGTCTAACGAATATATAAAGAAAAAGAATTAAAAATCAATTTTCCATTAAAATAGTCTTATTTAAATTGAAATGTTAATCATGTTTATACATTGCAAATTTAATTTTTAAGATTAAATAATTAAAACAAATATTTCTCTGTACATATAACATAAACAAATAATAAACAGATAGAACAATTACAAATGAACAAAATTCATTGTTTAAATAACTTACAGCGTTAACTGTGTTATTATTCGTTATACCTTACCGATTCTAAAAACAAATTATCTCAAGAAAGAGCACTCAGGAGCAAATGAAATTTATATCAATTCAAAGCATATAAGAAGAACTAATTTTATTCCGAAAATGAAAAAATAGATATGTTTCGTGTTTTTATAATTCTCTTTGCAATTTGGGAAGCTTTTTTTATAATTATAAAAAATTGTAACTTTTACAAATAGTATTGTATTGTATTATAATATTGTAGTATTGAAAATATTTTGATATCAATATAGTTCTAATATAAATTAACACTTACTATCGTGGTTTCATGCATATCTATTTCGATCAAAAGGTATCCTCATACCTTTGTATTTGGATGCAAATAGCTGATCGAAATGATTGTTAAAAAAAAGGAGATGAGGGAAAATAATTAGTATTATTAAGTTGTGTAGCAATAACTTTCATTTTCAATTGTAATTTTCAACGAAAAACTGCGAATATACCTGATGAGTGAAAAGTGAGAAAAAATTTCAGAAAATAAGATGTACTAAAAATGAACAACCACTCTAATAAATAACAAGTTAGTTTGATTCTTTCGGTAGTGTTAAATCGTGCAATTATTTCTGAATGAAAGAAATTCTCTTACGATTGAAGGGGGAGGGGATGGAAACGGAGGTAGCAATTCCAGAAGCAGCGATTAGATTAAAAACCGATGTAAGTAATATATTTTCATATTTACAAGGATTTTAGTTTATAAGTTTTAATAATCGGATATTTGAATATATGGACGTATGTATACATATATGTGTCGCGCTTGTAAAAATATAAAGGTCGTTTCTTCAAAACGTATTTATTCCATCGACGTAGTAAAAACCTTGGTGGGAGAAAAACTAAACGAGACGTTGGGATTTCCATTGAAAAACGTCCGATCGACGCTCCCAAACGTCGAGCGAACTTTTGGTCGAGCGCGCCGAAGAAGGGTGGAAAATGAAAACGATAGCCAATGGTCGATCGACGCAACGAGTACATTTTGAAAGAACGCCACGGTTAGGTATGCTTTCACTGAAAGCGATCAATTTCCAAGAAATTCGTTTCGTTCCTCGATCGCGAGTCGCGAGATTATCGTTTCTCCCTTGAAAGAACAAAAGACGAAGAAAAACCAACAACGATACCGCGTATCATTCGCCGGAATCGTTCGCGAAAATCGGCCGCGATCTCAAAAATCGTCTCGAACGTCCACGGTCGAGTTTAAAAAACGAACCGTCGCCGATTTCGAAGCGAAACTCACGAATCGACGAGACGGTTCGACGTGTTCCTTTATTTTTTTTTCAGAAATGTCTTCGACGCACGATACAGCGTTCCCCGAAATGCGAAAAGTGCGATTCGCAGCTGTTTCGAGAAGGCACGTAGCGAAGAATCGTAGTCGAGCGATATAAAAATGTTTTTTTTGGGACGCGAAGTCTGGCGAGGATTAAATAATCGTGCGTTTGTTGTTCGATCATCGGGTCCGTTCCATCCCTCTTAGGGCTTGACTGGGCACCCCGGGTGGCAGAGCCGCTGGTTCACCACCCCTGGCCTCGGGATCGTTGCTGGCTGCCTCGGAAGCCTTGAATCGCTTGTATTTCCCTAAAAAAAAACGCAAAGTGTTTGGATCTCGCAAGAAATTACGGGGAACGTTCATGGAACGACGTTGGACCTTTTTGGACCCACGTATCAGTTATCTTTCTTCAATTTTTAATACTTTTCTGGTACTCTTTATGCTTCCTGACTGATTATAGATACATATTGCGATAGATATGGGTCTAAAAAGACTCAATAATCAGAAACTGTGTTATGTTTTAATACATAGACCTAAAGATACAGGATCTCGAATGATCTTGGTCTCTAAATGTACATAGAGCTTTAAAGATATGGGTCTAAGAAGATCCAAGGTCCAGAAATTTTGTCATGTCTTAATATTTGGATCTAAAGATATAGAATCTCTAAAGATATGGGTCTCTAAAAATATATGGAGCTCTGGAGATATGGGTCTATAAAAATATATGGAGCTCTAAAGATATAGATCTAGAAAGACTCAAAGTTCAAAATTTTTGTTATGTTTTAATATATTGGTCTAAAGATATAGGTCTCTAAAGATATGAGTCTAAGACAGCCCAAAGTCAAGAAATTATGTTATGTTTTAATATATAGGTCTAAGAAGATATGGAATCTCTAAAGATCTCAGTCTCTAAAAATATATGGAGCTCTAGAGATATGAGTCTTTAAAAATACATGGAGCTCTAAAGATATAGATCTAGAAAGACTCGAAGTTCAAAATTTTTGTTATGTTTTAGTATATTGATCTAAAGATATAGGATTTCCAAAGATATAGGTCTCTAAAGATATGAGTCTAAGAAAGCCCAAAGTCGAGAAATTATGTTATGTTTTAATATATAGGTCTAAGAAGATATGGAATCTCTAAAGATCTCAGTCTCTAAAAATATATGGAGCTCTAGAGATATGAGTCTTTAAAAATACATGGAGCTCTAAAGATATAGATCTAGAAAGACTCGAAGTTCAAAATTTTTGTTATGTTTTAATATATTGGTCTAAAGATATGGGATTTTCAAAGATATAGGTCTCTAAAGATGTGAGTCTAAGAAAGTCAAAAATCAAAAAATTATGTTATGTTTTAATATGTAGGTCTAAGAAGATATGGAATCTCTAAAGATCTCGGTTTCTATAAGTATATAGAGCTCTAAAGATATATGTCTTTAAAAATATATGGAGCTCTAAAGATATGAAACTCTAAAAATATATGGAGCTCTAGAGATATGAATCTCTAAAAATATATGGATATCTAGAAAGATCCAAAGTTGAAAAATGTTGTTATATTTTAATATATTTGTCTAAATATATAGCATCTCTAAAAATATATGGAGCTCCAAGTCTTTCTAGATCCATATCTTTAAAATTCAAAATTTTTATTACGTTTTAATATATGAGTCTAAAGACATAGGATTTCCAAAGATATTGGTCTCTGAAAATATATGGATCTCTGAAGGTATTGGATCTAAAAAGACCCAAAGTCCAGAAACTGTCCTCTATTTTAATATTTGTTTTAAAACAATATTTATAATCAGTAGACTGTGGATCTTCATGCAAATTCATATTTTTATTAATAAAATCAATGAAATTGGAGCTTTGTAGAGGGTTGTCTCAACCCCTAGATATAATAATTTGTACCTTACTTGAAGTATTTCTTATATTCTTGCATATTAACTAAATTCTATAGCTTTTTGAAAATTGAAATTTCCCATAAATGCATAAACATCCGCAGTCTAATAATCAGAAACTAAACTTGTTTAGCCACCCAACAGATTTGACTGAATAAATATTCTATAATGCTGTATACTAATTAATTCACATGTTCTATGGATATTACGTTACATTTAAGAAAGTTCGCGGGTTCGCCGGTGATAAACCTTGACACGGTGAGTTTTTTCGTCCGTTTTACGCGAAACTGAAATTTCGTAACGCGATTAATCCCGTTTTCTGCGAGGGTAAGGTGTTGCCTAGTTTTACGTACGAGTAATCCGGTCGATTTAGGATCGATAAATTAATATTACTTACTGGCTAAACGAACCAAAGTGACGCCCCACCAAATGCTCCAGCCCCACCCAACCAGGCAGAATAAAACGGTGAATAATTGACCCACTCCGACCACTAGGTTCACCACGAAGGCGCCGAGCCTTGATTTCAATCCAGCCACCGCAGAGAATCTCGGCTGTCCGGTGCACAAGTTGAAAAGACCGCTCCAAACGGTGCCTGAAATCAACAGTGTTGTTTCAAACCTAGAAATCCACTCTTTAGAGAAGAAATAATCAACCATCTGACTTAAAAAAGGGCTCCAATCTTCGATTTCGACGAAACTTGAAGTTCAAAAATTTATTGACTTCATATATTAATAATAGTATTTTATATAATATGAGAATATTTTTTTTTTAAATATCTGGAATGAAAATCTGTATCAGAAGTGTTTCAATACAATAAAGAAAATATTGCCTTTTTTAAATTTATAAAATGTGAGCTATTTGTCACATATACAAACTCAAGTTTTACTAAAAATGAACACGAACAATATGTGAACAAATATATTGATATAGCCTTGCATTAAATTACAGTTGAGAATTTTTTCTCATTATACTCAAAGTAACAAAATAAAAGAAATATATAATAAACAGGACAAATATGTACTAAAAGTTTCACAAAAATCGAGGACCTGAACTGGCCTTTGGGCAAAACTCTTATCTAAATTGAACTTTCGAATAACGAATATAAATTAAACATTTTTTTATCTGTAGAATTAAACTTGACAATGTACAGATAAAAGTTAAAGCGTTTAATCGAATAAATATCATGAATAAATCGTTACATACATCGTATATCATTCAAATAAAATTTTGACACTGATTTAAACTAATTCATGGAAAATTATATCAATTTACAACGTCTATTCTTTTCACGGTCACGAAAAATGAATGTAGAGATAGGAAAGAACAATTTTAACGCGTCTAATATCCAGAACGTGACCACTTTTTACAATTTCTATGGATATTAATGGGATTTTAATGTGCCCGCGGAAAGTTGAGATTTCTATTAAATATAAAATTAGCGGCTGTGTCTCGATTTACCAGAACCGGGCAGTAAAACGTTCCACACTAGACAGAACCAGGCGAGAGGTACTGGTAGACACGGAATAGCGCCGCGCATTAGGGAATTGTGCTCCACCAGGACATCCGGTATCTTGGCCTTTGGTTCCTATTGTTTAACGAAAAGAAAGTCGCTGTTAGAAATAAATTTAAACATCCGATATTGCAAAACAAACCAACACTGTTGAAAAACTATACCAAAATAAAAACACTAAATGGTTAAGCGCCAAAATTTGATAGATCGAAATGCTTTTACGATTTACATGGCCAATAATTCTAGAAAAGAGTTAAAGTCACAAGTACTAGTTGCCTAAGCGGTGTATTTCTTTCTGGTAGACAAAATTTCTTTCAAACATCCTTTCTCACTAATTTACAGATACAATTTGTATTCGAAACGCCTTTGAACATCTCCTGTAATGTAGAGAATATATGTATAAACATGAATAAAACAGGTGTGAGTCTTGTAAAAGGGGTGGTTCTTCTTTAAGAATAGTAGCAACGAAATATGGTAGTTCTTAGATTAATTAATTTGTAGCCCTTGAAACGGCCTGAAAAATGGCCGAAAGTAAATTGTTGAAATATGCCAAAGAACATTTCGTTTTAAGTTATAAGAATTAAAATGTTCTCTTTAATTGTAGAACTTTTATTTGGCACTTACCCCTTTGGTACTTTCATTGTATAGTTATTAATTGATTACCTCCGATAATGGGGGCGGCGCTACGCTGGTAAGACTGTTCTTGGCACGTATGCTTCTTGTGCGTTCTACTTCAACGTTTCGTTTGCATTTGCAGCTGTCGAACAATCGACGGCAAATGGCGCCGAATCTTCGTTCCGGAGGACAACAGACGGCTGCCTCGGCTGGCGCGATCCTCGATCTTCTTGAGCAACATTTTATTTCCCTGAATCGATTGCACCTAACGCGAGGAAACATAAAAATTTGCTATGATTGTTCGCTAGTAGGCAACACGCTTGGACTTCGAAAAGGGCGAAGAAGAATCGATAAATTATTCTTTTAAAACTAAATAAATTTGTATACGTATAGTTCAATTAATATGCCTTAAATTAACAGAATGAAATTGTTACAATTTTTAAAACTTGGCACATAAACAAAGTCCAGGATAAAAGTTAAATAAAATTTGCTTTTGCACGTTTTATTATTTTCCTTCCTATTTTTTAATATTTTCATCGCTTACGATGCCTCTTGATTTATTTCATGTGTTCTGTTATAACCGGAGTATTTTCTTTCTTAAAGTGCATCGTCTGTGACTCGTGTCTGAACGTTAACGATCCGAGGAAAAATCAATTTGTCGACTTAATAAACCTAGAAAGCATAACCATGAATATTAATGAATCGATGAAGCATCCAATCGTTAAAAAAGCCACTAACACTTCATCTGTGTACCTGGGTGAAAGTCGATTCTTTAAACTATCATTTCTCCAAAGAGGAACACTGTGTTCCATATTCAGTGTCTTTACAAAAATCACATAGCATAAGTATTTTCATTTTATTGTTATAGTATTAAATTCAATTTGCGATACGAAGTATTTCAATGAATGTTTGAAAGAATTCAAATTGATTCGATACTCTCCTTATCTAAAGTAGGATAAGTTAGGTTAAGGGAGAGATGGAAATGTAAGGTGGGGAGGAAGTGTAACCCTAAGGGGAAGCAGGAAATAAATCTAACTCTCCTTATCTAAACATTTAACATTTATGGTTCAAAGAATGTATAGACAGTTACACGAATCAACATATATAATATATCGATTTAATAAGTTTTCTCAAGTATCTCACAATAAATTTTAAAACGTATGACTAAACTTTAATATAATAATTAAAACAATTGATCTTTCCCCAAACTGAGATACAATTATTATTATAACAAATTTTTAAAGTGTATGTGAACTTTCGTGGATGATTGTATATCTGTGTCATGCCACTATATTCCCTTATTAATTCCGCGAACACCGCAGCGAAACAATTACAGTGGCGCCACAGCAACTATCGCGGTTTCTACTGCATTTACCTCTATAATTGTCACGTATCTCATTCAATTTCACTGTTTCTCATTTTCGACTCCAGCATACACAGAAATAAATCAATCGAGGCAGACAAGCAAGTTTCTAAAATAACCAACCTCCCTTTCTAATTACTATATACCCCTCTAATTATTACACCTATTAATTTCACAGTATCTAAACTCCTAGCACGCTTCCATCCCTTTCTAATTATCAACCTCACAACTTTAACTGTACCTGCATTCACAAAACACAACATCAGTCTCAGGAGCAAAGGTTTAAAGCAATTCTCTAAATTGTAAGAACAAAATTGAAATTTTAAATATTCAGATACGACATAACACTAAATGAAAATTTCACAAAACACCTATCTTCGTGACATAACAAACAATATCAGTCTCAGGAGCAAGGGTTTAAAGTAATTCTCTAAATCGTAAGAACAAAATTGAAATTTTAAATATTCAGATACGACATAACACTAAATAAAAATTTCACAAAACACCTATCTTCGTGACATAACAAACAATATCAGTCTCAGGAGCAAAGGTTTAAAGTAATTCTCTAAATTGTGAGAACAAAATTGAAATTTTAAATATTCGGATACGACATAACACTAAACGAAAATTTCAATTATTCTGGACTTTGTGGTTTTTTTTTCTTTACTATCATCCTCGCCACTTCAATCTGAATTTTTAAAACCCATACCTCCCTCTCTGTCACATTGCAACCCCCCAGCCACGACAGTTAGAAGACACCATCGTATTTACCAATCCCCCGAATAAAAGAAAGCAAATTAAAAATTTGAACACCCTGCCCATTCGATTATTATTTCCAATCCTTTCGATCGGTTCTTTTTACCTGCATCCATTCTTGAATTTCGACCAGCAGCCAACAGGTGCATCGTTTCTCTCAACCGCGGGCTGCCGAGCTGCTTCGTTCGTGTCCGTCACGTTGGTGATCCTGGTGTTATTCCCAGGCCAGGCGAGTCCTTTGGGGTTGGTACGACAGGCGAGACACCTCATGCTGGGGCAACACTCGCAACAGCGACCCAAAGACCTCTTACAACGCGCGAAAAATCCGTCGGGCGGCCGTTCACCAACGCCGTTCGCTGCTCCCAGCACCCTGTAATCCGAAAGGCGGCCGCGCCCCGTTTATGCTGTTAGCATTATTAAAAAACGCCTGGTTTCCCTCGATCGATCGATCTACCGATAAAGGAGCCTTCGGCGTCGATTAAGAAGGAAACCAGCGTCGAACGCGACGCGATTGACGGAACTGTGCCAACGTCGGTTGATTTACCACCGACTCCGTTGGGACTGGTTGTTTCAAGGACACGTACGCTTAGATATTTTGTGGAAGATTAGATCTGATCGTTGATTCAACCCACTTGACGCATGGAAAATTTCTGACGGTTACAAATTGTTCGAAACTATGAGCAACATTAGTGTTACAGGTAATGTAATAGAAACTGTATGTAATGTACACGTACAGAAATTGTTTACACCCCAGATTGAACCTTTTGTAAATGAAATTTGTCTAAACAATTGCTTGGTTTTAACTTTTGTGATGAAAATAAAATTGAATGTAAATATAAATAATATTACAATATTCTAAATTTCACTGTATGCAATATAAACATGTACACGTGTTGTTTACGTAATCACCAATTTATTTCATATGGAATTTATAATTATGTACGAGTATTAAAATTGTAGAGACGATAATTTCATGTATTTATTCTTATGATAATTATGACAATTTGTTGGGGTTACAGCAGTGTCGTAAATTACATCTACCAAATGTTTAGATAATTTGATTTTTTTTTTAATTTCTTAGATGAGATTCTTCGTTGGAGAATATGGCGATAGAAAAAGTAGAGTATGTTTAATTTAAAAATTTAATAAAAGTGATATATGAATATTCGTGAAATATGAAAAGATTATCCACCAAAAATTGTTATAGTAAATTGTTTATTTTTATGATTGACGAGTTTCTTTTCCATAGAATTATACATATTTTTACTAACGCATCATGTGACTCGTAATGGCCGCTTCTGCCAGAAGCCATTTAAATAAATTCGTTAATGGTTTCTGATTTAGGAATGAAACGCAAACAGAAATTAATTCACGAATAAATCCAAAAACACAGTTCGAGGACCACAGTCGAAGGACACCGGCAATTTAGAAAATTAGCTGTTCCCTTTTCAACCTCAACATCGAACGCTCGATCACGCCACTGTTCATTAATCACTGAATCCAACAGCGACCCCAGCCTATCTATCCAAATCGTCACCCTTCGAACACCGATCGCTTACCAATTGAATCGCTCGTATTAATCTCTTCGACTCTCCATAAATATCGCGAACAGGACAGAGAAATGTGGCGTAGAATTCCTGTGGATCGATTGAGGGGGTGGGCTATAGGTGTAAGGGGACAACGTGCACGCAAAATTCCCACGTGTTTCACGTCCTGTTGCCCACACACTAATCAACCCCTCCACCATTTTCGAAACCACCATCTCCCACTCCTAGCGACCATATTTTTCGTCTCCATGAATCCCCAAGATCATCGTGTTCGTGGTAACTATTTGTCAAGGGTTGTTTAGAGTCTTCAGGCCTGTGACGTGAAATTTTTAGCAGAAAATGATTCATTTCTTGGAATAGTAAATGTAGTTTGTGATGTAATTCGCTTCTCCTGCGAATTTTTGTGATTATAAAGACATAAGTATGTCTTTAACACGTTGATTGTGTCAGCTTGTGTTGGGGGATGTTTTCGAAAGTTCGCATTATAGTGGAGAAAGTAGAAATATTGAATGTTTAAATGCAATGTTATTTGTATAAGTATCATTCACAAATATTCATGTTTATTCGCTCTGAATATTTCAAAATACAATAAATTTTAAGCTCAAGTAACTAACCACTGAGCCAGTTAAGTTGGTTGAATAAAATGCTTCGATAGAGTGTTTAAGCATGGAATTAATATTATTATATTGTCCTACAAGATTTACAGATCACCCACCCGGTTTCTTAATGTTAAAAAAAAAGACTAAGGACAACTACCCCTTTAAAAAATGTTAGCTTGAAGTTTACTCCTCACTAAACATTTCTACAAAGAGAGTACAAATATGGAATTAATAATATTATATTGTCCTACAAGATTTACAGATAACCTATCCATTTTCTTAATGTTAACAAACAAGACTAAAGACAACCACCCCTTTAAAAAATTTCAGCTTACTATTCGCAGTTCCTAAAATCGAATCATAACGATAAAAAATTGTTATCATAATACAAAGCTATAAAATTATGTACTAGATATAATATACGATCGTTTCATAATGTTGTATTAACAATTTAGCAGTTACCCCTTAAAACAATTTTAGCTTACTATTCACAGTTCCTAAAATCGAATCATAACGATTAAAAATTGTTATCATAATACAAAGCTATACAATTATGTACTAGATATAATATACGATCGATTCATAATGTGGTATTAACAATTTAGCAGTTACCCCTTAAAACAATTTTAGCTTACTATTCACAGTTCCTAAAATCGAATCACAACGATCCAAGATTGCTATCCTAATGAAAAGGTTAAAAATCATGTACTATACTTATATATTTATTAAAAAAATGAATCTCAATAAACACCCTTGATCAACTAAGTTAAACGAATCAAGTTTCAAGTTTAATCCTCCCCGAGTAACCGCGAGTCCACCTTTCTCCCAGTATCTTCCAAAGCCCTCTGTCTCTGACCCTCTCCGTGTGTGCATCGAACCACCCCCCCGGACCCTCCCCGATTGTCTTCGAGACCGGACCTAACCCTCTCCAAGTGTCTTCGACACCTACCCTTTCCGAGCGTCGGGCGAACGTACGCTCGGAAAAACCTTACCTCGTTGCTCCCTGGTTCCGTAGGTCTTCGTGGCCCTGGCGGAGACGTCGAGACGCACGGCGAACGGAAGTCCTCGAGGATGATCCCGCGGCGGTGGATCGATTCGCAGTCGTCGCGGTGGAGAAGAAACGGTACTGCCTCGAGGCTGGCCAGCGAGCATCGCGGCTCCGCTCGTGTCGCACGAAGATTGCAGGTGCCGCAGTCCACGGGGGTTGGCCGGACCTCGATGGACGTCGTAGGGTGGCGAAGCAAAGAGGGCGGTCGGCTTGGCGAGCGGTCACGCAAAGATTTTCTCCTTCGGACGGCCCGCATACACGTAGGCTTCGGTTGACCGCGAAATCGATACGGCGAAGTTCTTTACCTTAACACCGGCGCTCTTTCAAGGCACCAGGCTCCCCCTCTTTTCACGCGATTTTTCTTTCCCTCGCGTCGGTAAAAATTTCTGATTTCCCCGTCCCTCGTATTTTTCTATTCACCGAGTCACCAACGGTGACAACCGCGAATGCGTCAGCTTTTTTATTTCGTTTCGTGAGAGGTTTAGTCCGCAGGTGTTGCTGTTCGCAGAAATTATTGACACGTGAAAGAATTTTATAGAAGCACGCGGAATAAAAGGGTTCGGGTTTTTTAAATCGAGAAACGGTAAAAGAGAGATCTTTGTCTAGCGAGGACGTAAAATAAAAACGTGTAATTACGAGATTGGGAGAGTGTCCAAGTAATTTCTTGCATGATAAATTCCACGAATGATGCTCGAAGAACAGTGTTTATTAGTTTTAGAACGTCCATTGTAATGTTTAGGGTCGACAAGAATTTCGATGATGCTTAAATATTATTTTTGTGACATTTTGTGACTAAAAAGAAAACGATTTATTTCTTAAACATTATTTAATTTTAAGAAAGGATTTAGAATAATGTGGAGCAAAAATTTTCAATTTTAAAAATCTCAGAACTTTGAGAATACTTTTCACTTGCAGCATGCATGGGTTATTTGGTCTCCCCATTAGGTCAAGTACGATAAGTCTTTGACTTGCGTTGTTAACTTATCTTTGAGGGGGAGGAAAAAGAAAAATTATTCTCGGGTTAAGAATAATGTGATATCATCAATAAGGCGAATGTGTACAGTGTCGACTGACGTTTGCTCAGAGTCGTAGGCCTTTCAAAGGCAGAAACCTTTCAACCCTTCCAACGAGTGGCCTGTCTTTCTTCCCTCCCACAATACATTTAATCATCTCTGTTGCAAAAGTGAATTACAGTCCACCTATGTGTACTTTTCTATGGAAAGAAAAATTGAAGAAACGGTAACCTCATTCAATATGCATACATTAAATTTAAAAGCAAATAATGTATACTGTTTACTACCATTCAATTTACAATATAATATCTTCAATTTTTCCCCATCTTGATGAAAATAATTTTCGATAAATGCTTCCTTTTTCTGCTATAATGAGTTTAGTAAATAATCTGTTAAACTTCTGGAAAGTGTTACATATTAAATATTTTTTTTCTTTCCTTGTTGATAACCTGACTATCGAAAGCGAGAGAATCCCATAGATTTTACGAAAGTTTCCCACAACAACGATGGCGGTTTTATTTATTGTGATCCTGTTGCCCTCCCCCCGTATTTTGTGTTCGTGCTGTCCACATTTTGTCCTCGTATCTTCGTTTCGCTCGACGTTAATACCGTTGAATCGTTGAACGGAATTTGTATCGAATCGATACTCTGCCAGAACACTATGCACTTCGTGTACTTTGCGCAAGAATCGTATTTTGCACTGTTTTTTCTCCTCCCTTTAATCGCTGCATACTTTTCGAGGAAGAAGATTCTTCCACCGAGGAAAATTTACGTTCTCACGGCGAAACGGTACCATTCTTGAATAATATTCCGGCCGATTTCAATAACTCCTAATGCAAGAAAATTTCACTGTTAAAAGTTTACGCGTTAAAGTCAACGAGCCACTTTCAAAACTCGGTAAACCAATAAACCTGGTCGTTACCAGGATTTCTGTAGGACGAAGACGTGGAACTTCGATGGTACAAAAGTTTTAATTGCGTTTACTTCGACTCGCGACCACTTCGACTACCCCTTTGCAAAATGTGCGTGCACACGTCGTTTCGTATAAGAACTCTCTCCTTCGGTGCGCGTGTTTCGCATCGCCGGAATAATCGTTCGATATCTCTGTGCCATTTGCGAGAAGAAAATGCACCGAGAAACTCGAATGCTTACCTCGAAAATAC